CCCCCCCCCCCCCCCCCCCCCCCCCCCCGCCTTGATCCGCCAGTGTTATGGCCCCCACGTGGCAAAAACATATCACAATGCATTCCTCGTTGTTATTATAGTAATTACCAAACTGCACGCCAGTGCCTCGAGACCGTTAAGAAACACTGCAAAAGCGACGTACCACAGCAGCGCAGGACGAAGGCTTCACTGGACTCATTTGAAGATCGCTTAGATTTTATCTGCAGTGAAAGCAGACAGAAAGGTAGGAGCATAGGGCATGTGCATATATTTGACATTTGAAGAGAGAGAGAGAGAGAGAGAGAGAGAGGAGAGAGAGAGAAATGGACCGCGGTAGAGATGGTCAACTATAAACACATAAATGTAAAACGGTTGGAAAAACGCACCAAACTTTTTTTTTAAATATCAAAGTGAAAAGTTCTTGAGAAATTCAAATTGGCGTTTTTCTTATTTGCTAATTATGTGCAAGCACCTGATATAAAAGTCTGTAATACAGTATATACAATCTAATTATTTATCTTTATTTCGAGAAAATGATGGTATTTCCAATGGTAACTGCTGCACGAGTAAATGTCTCCATTTGTCTCTAGCCCTCCAGCGCCTCGAACCTTGTTTCAGTGATCCGGCAAAAGTATCGGCGGCCGACGAATGTGAATTTAAGTACAATGCAACAAATCATGTCATAGTAGACACCGTTGTGTCACGTCAGAGGACACTGAGAGCCATCTGTTAGTGAGTATTAGACCCCATTCCCATACCTAGATCGATCTAGCAGGATCGACCCATCTCCGAGGGGTTTCTCGCTAAATTGCACCCATCTTAAGCGGCTCTGATATCTGGCATGTCTACTGAAGCTGTTAGGGGTAATTAATAACTACCGTTTAGCAGCTTCAGTAGGCGTGCCAGATATCAGAGCCAGATGTCAGAGATGGGTCAAATTTGCTAGATCGATCTAGGTATGGAAACGGGGGCTTAGATATATGTATTTTCATTCATAACATATGAAATAAAGACCATGTGTATCAGCTAGACTTGTGCTCACGTAGAATATGAATACAGTGTAGCCTCTGCTTGTTTAAAAAACTGTTCATGGGTGGAAGAGATTGTGAAATGAATATTCCACCCATTTTACCCAATTTATATATTTAAAATAAATAATTATATATATAATTGAAATGAAAACAAACAGAAAATGAGAAAAAATACGATAGAGGAGGATCTTGTTAAAATAGCTACGAGATAAAGAACTGCAGTATATTGTTGACTATTTTTGTACCTACAGTGTATATATCTCTTAGAGGTTACAACATAGTGAATATAGTGCTTTTACTTTGTCTTGTCCCCATTTCGCCTACTCTACAGACTGTTATATTCAAAATGCGTTTTTCGACAACAGTTTATATGATGCCGTTATGATTTAAATCACCTCTTTATATTTCAGCAACACACAAAATCTGTCCTCGTGCATCACGAACGTGTACAAACCATGCGGAGACGCTGCCACGGACTTAATCACAGCCTTACTTAGACAGAACTTTAAAAGGCTGTTAAGTGGCTCCACATGTGAAATAAAGAGTAAACGACAACAAACATTAACGACAGAGCGGTCCACAGAGTCCAAAGTACAAGTAGGGGACTCTTCCTCTTCAAGCGTGATATTATGTTCACAGCGGAACTCGTTTCTTGTGGTGGTTGCCTTGCTTGTTGGTTTAATTTTTTACGAATGTGTTTGAATTGTTTAATATATGTATATCAGTTAACTTAATTGCATTCCTTTGTTGAATGTAGGATATCGTGGAGGGGAGATTGGTTGTCATATTCACACACACAAACACACACACACACACACACACGAGAAAAAGAACGAGAAAGGGGGAGATGATGGCACAGATATTTTTATACATTACTAAATTAATTTGATATTTGAGTCTGTTGTGGATACACTGGCTCAGTGCAAACTACGAACTCTGGTACCGGTGACTGTTGAAGAGAGTCCGGTTCCCACTAATTTGTACAGGTAAACCCCGTCCTAGATGTTGGCACACTGACGTCACGCTAATCCTCACCTGTATGAATCTAACGGAAGGCGGTCTCTGTTACACGGACACGTCGGTTTCTATACGTCAGTGTCTGAGTGTACATGCGTGATCATTGTGTGAACCTTTTGGTTTTGTGAAACTGACGTGTTCCAAGAGTTTTCAGGTCGGATCCTCACCAAAATACCTTCCCGAGTTTTTACTGAAGTTCCTAGTGAGTTCTTAATTAACTCTCCTGACTTACGACAATTGCTCTTGCCGCTCTTTATACATGTAGAATGCAGGCACAAGGTTGGCTTTTCTTGTAAGTGACTTATAAAAACTATCATCTTAATAAATGAATTAAGTAAAGTTAAATAAAGATATCTAACCAGTACTACAGTTGCAGCGGCTTCCCACGAAGGTACAGCGCTTTTACTAGTGGACGTGTGTAGATCTAATAACAACTCTTGACTCTTACTGGAATTGTGGACTTTCTAATCACAATTGAGTTATGGAATAAAGATGTCTCAAGATATTAATTACATCACCCAATTGATGAGATCCAATTACATTACACAGAACTGGAGTTTTCCAAGTGCAATTCAGCTACACGATATTGGCCTCTACTATGACCCAATATATGGAGTTAATTACATTTCACAGGCTAATAACAATAAATACATAGGGCAATATGCATCTATAACAATCCAGTCAAATTTACAATTAAAATTCAAAAATATATCTAAATATCAGAGAATGTTTTGGTTATTGAATTACTGATTATTAACAGTCATACAAAAGATCCAGTTCCACTTTTAAAATATAGGAATATCTTTATTACCATGTGCTCCACTTCCAGCACCTTGCCATACAGTGACTGTGTTTTGTGTACAACTAACGCATTTCCAATGTCACCGTGGATCTATTGGAAATGCGTTAGTTGTACACAAAACACAATCACTGTATGGCATGGTGCTGGAAGTGTCATGCCTGTAGCAATGGAAAGTTACTTCGCTCATACATGTATTATCTTCATGGTGAAGTCAATTGCAGGCAAGATTGCGACTGGTGGGTTCTATTCCGCAATGTGTTTTGGCGGTGATGCGCAGAAGCACCAGAGCACATCTTCAGTTGTTCAAAAAATGTTCATATTATCCTCCAGAGAATAGTTAAAATGAAACTTATACTGAAATCTGGATATTGGTCTAGGCCAATCAATTAAATTACAAAATTGATTGAACAGCTATTTTTATAGTTGTATTTATTAATACTTGGCAAGATATGACATTTTCTTGAACTGTTATTATTATTATTATTATTATTATTATTATTATTATTATTATTATTATTTCTATGATAGTGTTGATGAAGATGATAATACATAGTTTTTCCAATCTCCAGTAAAAATATCTCTTAATAAACAAAAATGGGACAAAACTTCGAATCAAAGAGCATGAACGCACTGAGCAATGATTCGTGAGGAGAACTTTGCTTTCTTCCCAAGGAAAATTCAATTTAGCGGGCACATCTCACATAGAGTATACGTACCTTTCATGATGTAATGATTTAGTTTCAGGAACGTGTAGGATACTAACCAGTGCCACCAGGAGTTAATTATTATTATTATTATTATTATTATTATTATTATTATTATTATTATTATTTCTATGATAGTGATGATGATGATAATACATAGTTTTTCCAGTCTCCAGTAAAATATCTCTTATTGAACAAAAATGGGACAAATCTTCGAATCAAAGTACAGGGACGGACATTGCATTCTTCCCTAGGGAAATTCGTTTTATATTAGCGGGCACATCTCATATAGAGTAACCGTACCTTTCATAGTGTAATGATTTAGTTTCAGGAACTCGTAGGATCTTAACCAGTGCCACCAGGAGTTTATTTCAATGCTCAAAGAGTATTAATGATTAATATAAAATGAATGTTTATATATATAATACATTGTACATTACGTACATGTAGGTGATAGTATATACGAACAAGTATATTTTGCACGACACGTTTCCAATGTAAATTTATTTATAAGTTTTTTTTCTCTGTATCCAAATAGATACTCGTATATCATGATCAAGAACATTATTCTGGTTTGAACCATAATTTATTTGTGTGCACTGAACATATTTTGCATCAACATTTACCAACAGTATACGTGTATATACATACATTTTGTCATTTCTGGGTAACAACTTAATAATGAATTTATTATTTTTACTTATAACACCAGTAAGTAAATAAAATATATGGCTCTAAGGTCCATAACTTTCTTCACTAATTGCTGACAATATCAAGTTATCCCTGAAGTTTTAGCCACAACTGTTTAGACGGATGCTGTGTATTGTACGTAGATGTGAATACAACTTGCAAGAAGCGGGTAGTACCGTGAGAAGAATGCCCCTCCCACCTTCCTGGCCGTCGTTATATATGTACCATATACATATGTATATTTTTATGTATATATGTATATTTTTTTATCCAACTCCATCTCTTTACAAAGTTTTCATTCCTTCTGATCCGAATGAATTGAGAGATCATACATATACATTTTGTGTCGGATTCTCGTGTTAGCAGTCCTGATTTTCATAGTTCGACACGTGATTTTTTAATTGTGCCCACTTCTGCCCTCTTTTCCTTTGTGCATAGTGTATAGGGTTTAACTCAAGCAGCACAGTTTACTTCAAATGCTAACCCATATCTCTATCTTGTATCTCGTCTTTTGTATGGAGTAACTGTCAGCATTTAGTGAAAAAAGTCAGGATCTTGAAATCATGAATCTAAATTATTCACGTGTCGTTGTAACCAACACAGCCTACATATCATTTTAAACAACAGTGACTGATAACAATGACTACGAGATTACTCCCTAGACAAATACCGCACTTAAATAATTACTGCAAGATTAGGCTTATTGCGTCACTCAGCCTGAGTTGCGGGATGGGACGGGCCGTCAGCGACACCCCGACATGGTACAGCATAGGAAACCAGACAGCGCAAGTACCTTGGGACAAATCTTATATTTGTTTATTGGTCTAGCAAAGTTGTTTAATAGTGTGGACATCATAATAGTGTAGACAGCCAAATGTGGCACTGATTATCTTTTCGAATAAATTCTTTTTTGGATTTATTTTTTCTCTGTAGATTGGAAGGATTGTCAGTGGTGGTGAAAATACATGCCTATATCTACTGGAAGGGCTTCCGGACCAAACGTATATTTGTAAAATAATAATAATAATAATAATAATGGAAGAACTGAATAAGTGAATTGATGAATTAAATTGAAAGAAAAATAAATTAAAAACTTCAGAAGCCGTTTGTGAAAATTTGCCCTTATAGGCCTTTTGACATGATTACAAATGCTTTATTTCAGTCACATTTCACATGTAACATTATCTACTTGTACAATATAAATTTTGAATAAAATGTGTGATGAATATTACTACTGACGCGACAACATCATTTCATGTTTTTCTGTGAGCACACACATCGTTATGGAGGACGCTATATTCAGATTTAACATCTTCACACAATCTGTTCACGTACGGACACTGAAACCACAGATGGTCAACACCAAAGATCTTGAACATTCCGGCAGAGAATTATGTGGTATTAAAACTACAAGGCTCTGTGTAAAGCTGAATTGAGTGGACTTAATATTCGGTTGACTGATACATGCATGTACAATAGTTCATATACCTATCGAGGAATGCAATGATTTTATCTAACATTTATGACGTGATTTTATGTACATTGTGGCTGGCATACTGGATGCCAAATAAATCAGCAAAACCTTTCGTGCTTAAGTCTTATACTGTACCTAATGTTTCACTGATTTTCAAGAGTTTCCTTTGTAGGGTCAAAAGACCTCTCCGCCACCCCACCTGCTTCTATTCCCTGCATTACTGACCTTTTCATACACCTGCTCACTGAAGACCTACATTTATTACTAAATTAAACCTAAGTTTTTCATTCACAGTACAATCCCTTCTACAAATATACTCATTTTAAAGGGCTGTTTGAAATCAAATTGCTTTGGATGATGGGCCAATTCGTAATCTGGTAAAACGTCCAATGACAGAACTAAAACAGACCCCCTCCCTTCAAAAGGATCTTACAGGGCTACTCAAAAGGAACAAGTTTTAGGGCTCTTTTTGTCATTCCATATGTTCCTGCAAAAGTTGCAAAAATTAATACCCTCCACGCACAGGTATTCTAACATTCGGGTTACTTTAGATCCGAAATAGGTAAGTCGACGTCACCTGGCAACCACTGTAAAATATCACTGTTAACAGCGCGAAAACCGCTTATTTTCAGAAATCGTCGAGATCACTGTGCTTTAATTCAAAAACCTCACAGAAATGGCAAAGGGCGGCTTTGCATCAGGATCAATCAAGATGTTTTAATCTAGGTATTTTTTACAGGGAGCTAAGACGACGTCAATATTTGATAAAAGAAACACATGCTGAGTGCAACCATTCTATCAAATCTATAAGATTGTAACGATTCTATGCCAGATTTATACTCCAGTTGTTTCCCAACATTGGGTGCTGTGCTACTTTTCTTGTGATTCTTTCTTTTAATATGACACGGGATTCCTTGGCCTTCAAATATTTCTTTTAAACTCTGGTTGTTAATTACGTTTAATAAATCTACCGCCTCTTCACCGCATATGCTGTGTGCATTCGCCGTACACGTTAACATATCCTTCATCATTCTGAAAATTGGAGAAAAAAATCGAATTATTGTAGTGAATTGAAGTTGAAATCAAAATGTCAGAGTTTTAAACTTTTAAGTTTTGAATAACATGAAACTCCAAAAGTTGTGGAGCCGCAAAAGGTGACTTTATGAGTATCAATACCATGTTGGGGGTATGGGCGGATCTTGACAGAAGTAGAAATACAAATCTATTACAAAATAATTGTATGGCATACTTAAATTTTGTATACTATATTTTAGAAAAGTTCCTGATATGAGATGGTATATATTCTGAGGGATGGACAGTGTTTTAGAGATAACTGTAGAAACTTTACCCTATCAAAACTCGACAAAACTAGAAAGACATTTCTTACTCAGTGAAAGCTTGAGATAAACACCTACAGGAACAAATACTTTAGTGAATGATGGGAATAGAACAGTAGTATAATTTAACAAATGCTTAACTTTTATTCCACCGGAGACAAATCTAGAACTATCAGCGAGAGAAAGAAAGAGAGAGAAAGATAGAGATACATGTACGTACTTGCAAAGATTCCGTAGTCGTGTTTTACCAGACTGATACACGGCCCTGCCAGCGTACTCCCGCCTTCTTTCTTGAAACGTATTTTCACACCTCTCTATGGAGGGTTTGATCTCCTCGCTGTTTAAACACTCGTGGTTTCTGTTGTAGGCTGAAAGGAGAATGTGTCAGCGGATTAGACCGCAATTTGCTCACCCACCTGCTTGATGACTGCGCTAAAATAGCCGAGTCACTTAATCAATAAGGAGCGTCCATTTTGGCAGCTTAGGGCCCATATTAAAGGTCGTTTTTCATGGTGATCAACGTTGAAGAATCTTTGAGGATGGAGGGCGCGGACATATTATCTGATAAACTTAATCATCTCACTTCAAAAATCTTTTGGGTAGGACGTTGGGAAACCAATCAAGGGACACCGTTTTTACGTTTGGGAGCATAAATAGAATGAAATGAGAATGTACCGGGATCTCATGACAGTACCGCAATTTGTTGCCTTCTGGAAAAATACCAGTGTATTAAAATTGGTAGTTTGTGTGAGCACGCATCTAATAACTGCTAGATATTGATGCCTTCGACCATCCTACTGCTATTTCTAAAACACATCTACCTTTACGTATAGCAAACCTTCTTCAACAAGAAAGAATAATTGGCGATTTTTTAATTTGTTTACAAAATGTACTGAACTTTGGGATGCTTACGTGGTAATCGTGGTTAAAAATTCTTGTTACGAGGTCTGATAGCTAAATCACCATTTGAAGGAACGGGTAAAGTCACTGAAACGCTACATCTACACTTATTGAAATTACAAAATGTTCATGACACTGGCATAAAAAACCGATGTGACAGTAATGGTAGTCCTTGGAATGGAAACTCTGTGTCCAAAATGATTAAGAACAGATTAGGGTAAGCCGTAAGTATACTGGTGAGTAAACAGGATAAAACAACGTTAATTACTGTACAAAGTAATGGGACAGGGGACAAGGTTCCTAGGAGTCTACCATTCTTGTCACACCGGAAAAAAATGACAATCCATCTTAATGGTAAAACCACCTGTAGCCAGCAATTTCACAAGGGGAATTCTTTTCCTGAAAAGAGGGACCTTTGTCCCCACTAGCTGAACCAATTTGAGAAATGGCACAAATCGAATTTTGATTCAGAGTGGACCTTTTCTGGCCAAACAGGCGTTTCTTTCAAACCCCTCTAGCCACACTGCTGGTCACAGGCCTGAAACAGATTTGATCCACTTACTGTCAAAACCACTTTCACTGCACAAATAGCCCGTGTAGCTCTCTAGGACTTCGACTGATTTTAAGAACATTTTTTTCGCGTCGACACATTTCGGTCGAACTGGCAGTAGACAGGCCTGCATGGTCCCATACTCCCTACAACGAAACAAAAAAAAAGCAGTTAAGAACAAAAACAGCTCTATACGCAAGAGGGCTACGAGCACTCAGCCACATGCCTATTTGGCACTCTTGTCTACATTTTGTCCTTTTGTTGCCAAGACGATGCAACAAGCTTGTAGGGAATTATAATTATTTCCTTTTGCTTCTACTGCTTGGTTTTGCTAAAGTAAAAACTCCAAGCATGAGGTCGTCATGGTTAAGTACAATGACACCCTTGTTGTTGTAGGTCATAAATTTCCCTTACACAAGGGACTTCAGGTTTATGGTTGCTGTTGCCCGCTTGATAAAAACAAATCTAAAAACTTAAAAGCCATTTTTGTAAAAGCAAGTTTGAGAATATTGACATAAGATATAAAATTACAAGAAAGCGATTTAGCATTTTCAGATGTATAAATAAAATTATGTTGAACAAAATATTTGCAAATGAAATAATACTTTCAAAATGAATACAATAAGATGACGGTTTCTGCATTTCTCTCGTATAAGTAAACAACATCTGGCGTTATTCGCGTGGAACCATTTGTCTTACATTTATGCAGTCTCCTTATACCATTCTCGTACATTAAGGCCGAAGAAGAGCCATCTCCAGGGACAGCCAGCAAGTGAAACCCACATTAAGGAAACCGTCGGTAATTTTTTTCCTCTGTGGGACGAACTCTATTTTATGGAAATTGTTTGTGATTTTTTTCCACGGAAGCAATATGTCAATTTTAATTTTCTTCACCCGATTAAAATACTTTCAGCAAACATTACTGCATTTTGGATCAAAATTTCTCTTGGCGTGCTCGAAATTCATAGTAATCACTTCCATTTAATATTTAAAGCATCGATGGTTTCCCGACAACTACATGTAGTTTTAGTATTTTATATGCTTATAATCATAAAACATGCACACCCATTATACAAAGTAGCATCATTTTGACACAAATAATTTACCTGTTATATTTTTATGTAAAATGTCCTTTGCGTTTAAAATCCGTTGATGCAGTCATGTGCATTTATACCCCAGAAAACAAGGAACGTTGTTAACGTTACCATAACGTTACCATGAGGATTCATGTTAATTCACCGTATAGATCTTGATAAAAATAGAAGTAGATATATTGATGCACCTTGAAAGATCTACGTTATAGTTGTAAAATACAATCCGAGGAGTTTTTTTTTTCATTTTTTGTTCATAATCCCCGAAGAAGGCCCAGGGACCGAAAGCTCGGATTGTATTTTACAACTATAATGTACACCTTCTAAGGTGCATCAATATATATACTTCTATTCATAACGTTACCATAAACATTTGTTGGTTAAATAAAGGTAATGATAACGTTATAATAACGTTCTTTGTTTCCTGGGCACCATGTACTGTACTTGGGGTATTGCTGTTTAATGAAGAAATGCATTGTACCACATTAAACACCACCTAGACGTACCTGCACACTGCGGCCATCTTCTCTTTACTTCCCAAATTTGTCGTGGAGATGGCGTAACCCATTTCTTCAGTGGCGTTTATGAATGGGGTCAAGCATCGCGCCACGTTTTCTGGCGTGCACTCATCGGAAGCCTCTGAGGTTAGCAGGACTGAAAGAACGAGAAACAGTACAGAACCTGTACAGAGCAGTCGGTGCCCACCACGCCCTCTTGTTGTCATTATTTTGTTGTCACTGGAAACACCTTGATCCCGAGAAAAATAAAGCCCTCCTTCGCCCGTCGTTCTAACAGACCTGATGTATGCAATTTCGAAACATTTGGTTTTTATACGCTTTGATGCAGAAGCATCCCATGAGATATCTCCACATATGGTTTGTTAGTAATACCCCAGAGGACCTGGTTTCTTCGATCTTTTGACATACCGAAGTTATGTAATATCAAAGTTGACTCGTATCCAGAACAAGATAACACCGGATGTTTCTACAAATTTTGGTGATTTCCAAAAAATATACAAAAGTAACCATAATAATTTAATCAGCCATTAGATCTCTTCTGATCATTCTTATGGAAAAAGGCAAGCAGTGGTGTACGCGGCAATACTGTTTTCATCACCGCACCAGATATGACGTCAGAACCGGTAATTCAATAATATCACTACGATCTAAATATTCTGAAGAAAATAACCACAATCTTCGCATGACGAGCAATTACCTCGACCACATAAGACGGAAAGGGTCTTGAAAACATTCTGTGATGACTCATTTCAAAGATGATTCAAGTACCACATAGTTTCCATTCCCATAGATACCATTGATCTACCTGGATCGACCCAACTCTGCAGGAACTCTCGCTGAATGCAATCAGCTTCACTGAATAACACCAGGAGGATAGCATAAGCATAGCACTCATTCTTTATAAAAGATCTCAGGTGTCAGAAGTCACGCTCGTTGCCTTATCCTGGATTTGGATCCTGTTGGATACCGACAACTGTTTTGAAGCAACGAGCGTGACGTAAGGTTCGTCAATGGGAGCAAAAATGGGCCTTGGTGCTGTTTTCACTGCACGGGTTGATTACTGTACCTAGCTAACAAGAAATGTCAGCCTTGCGTTTATCATTCAACAGTTGTCAAAGTACCAAAGCAAAAGCAATTCAACCATACATTATGCATTTTATTAAAAGCTCCCTGCCTGAATAAAACATCGTGTCGATATAAGTATGGTAACAATTGCCCATACAGACTAAACTCATTCCGTAGGCCTATGTACACATGCCCAGAGTTTTCGGACCCTGTAGCTACTTTTTAAGCCAAAATACAAGAAAAGTTTGCTGACCTTAAATGGCCAATCAGTGAATGATTATACATGAACGCGCTGGATTCGACAGAACGAAATTACAGTTAATCCCCCCTTGGTAAAAGTTTAGTTTAGTACAAAGCTGCTTCATGTGTATACATGGACTTCGGTGGTATCCATTTCTTAACCAAGTTTATAGAGAACTTAAGCATACTGCGGCTAATTTGTTTGACACAAAGAATTCAGTTGGTAAAGTGACAGTTACAAATGTAGTTCAATCTAATTGTTGTATTACAGAAGATATGTGCATATCGTACCTTGCAGTGGATACCACTATAACCCTACAGAAAGCATCTGCCAGATACATGCACAACGGGTACTTTGATGATGCCACCATCAGAGTGAATGACATAATACATGACAAACCTGTCAATAAAGAATAACATGCTACTTCCCTACTCTGATGTTAAGAGACTGTCCAACCGTGGTCGCTTTTACAGAAGCAAAAAAGAGAGCGTCCCTAGGGAAATGCAAACGTTAATACGATTCGTCAGCCGGGCTACTATCTTCAATCCCTGGTCATTCTGATTATTTCTAGGACGAGGACGGCAATGCCCTGTAGACATGACCTGGGTATCTAACTGTTATACCCGCCCGCTTGATATCCTTGACGACGATGTCTGGACTTCAGCTGGTGAAAATAGTTTTTGAGTGCGACGAGGTTTAAGTATGGACCAAAGACGTCATTGATATGTATGTATGTATGTATGTATGTATTCTCTCCTCACAATGATATTTCGTTTTGGTCCAACCCTTCCACACGAGCCCAAAGGGGCCTCACTTTGGGGTGAAAGAAAAAAATCTGCATTTTTTACATTTTAGATACTGGTTTCATTTAGAGTACCATGAAGCATTGAATTTTTGTTCACGACTTCAATGGACATTAACCTAAGTGGATTATGATGGTGATTTTTTCCTATCCTTTGTAAACCTGCATTTTCAATTAGACAAAGTGTCAAAGGATGTTTAATGAGTGTAGGGTCATTAAATTTATAATTAAATAATAAGAAATCAATAAATAAACCCAACAATAAACTAGAAAAAATGTTCTCGCAAATGCTAATTGATTCGAGGCTGTACCTTTGGCGATTAAGAAGCAGAGTAAGGCCTCACACTGGGGCAACAATCAGCCAAATCCACACCCATACTTGCTTCAGCTGAGCGCCCATGGTATCTGATTTATTTTTTAAAAAATACGTATCAAAAAGGATTATTTTTGAGCCGGAACGAAATATTTTTTTACAGTGTTAATCAAATTGTTGCAAACCAATTGTGTGATTTAGGTCTAAATCAGATTAATATATCCATGAGAGGTTGGATTACAATGGTTATACATTGACTTTCAACATGGTATTTTACTTGAGGTGTTGAGAAACACCTTGTTGATTTTACTTTAATCTGACATATTTTCTTGGGACATATATTTTTGAAAATTAACTCATGATAATTAGATTTACCACACCAAGAGGGAATTGATGGTAATCATTCAAGTAAATAAGTTCTTGCTACGCATTTTGAGACCCATGCGCATGCTACCTTATGTATAACTCACACTGCTATCAAAACTGTGACAAAATGCCCCATTAAAAAGAGAAAGAAGAAAGCCTAATGAACCTGATTAACAACTATAAACAGGTGACATTCGATCACTGCCATACTTAATTGCGTCACTGTTTGTTTGAGACGTGGCGACAAAATCGATATCCCGGCGTAATAGCAAGTTGGGTGTCGTAGATCCGTCTTAATTAACTTGTCTCTCAAGACCTTAATCGTTTATACCCAAAGGGGAAAGGCCAGGCATTGGTTATGTTATCCCCTTGTGCAGTAGACCATATGAATACCAGTGGGATACACAGTGGAGTGCGGATACACAGGGAAAGAGAATGTTTTGCAAAATGTTTTGTTGGGAGACGATAGACATAAATAGCCGCTTATTATGCTTTGGGCGTCGAGCGTTTTTTAACGGATACCCTCTGATTTTCCCTTAAAAATAGCAGTGTAAGGAGGAAATTGCATTGATTGTATAACGTGTGGTTTTTTTCTATTGAACGTGTCCATTAGGTCTATTTGGTGTCATACGTTCCCTGCAGGAAAGTTATTCCGTGAAGCATTTCAAGCCGCAATATCTCACAGACGTGTTGTATTCAATAGTTTTCATTACGATTATTGTTAGACGACATACCATTTCAAGTGCATTTAAATAGATCAATTGACAGATAGTGATACATTCCAGCCAATTATCAACAAAAAAAGTTCGGCACGACAGAATATCTTCGGTTTGCCCAAAGGAACAGAAATATTCTCGTCAAAGTATATTCTCCCGTATATTACTAGAGGCAATACCGTTTAAGTGAGCAAATGCTTACAAGCTCACTGTATCTGTATCTTGCTCCATAAGGAAAGGAGACTCTTATGTAATCATCTTGCACATTTACTTAAACCTAGAATGTCACATGTATGCGTATAGCAAATCGGTTCTTCTGAAGTGGGCATGAAAATAATTATTTATTTATTTATTTATTTATTTATTTTTTTATTTATTTAGAAAACGTGGCCTCGGGGAGCCCTACAATACTGTTTACAATGTAAATAAATAAGCTATCAAACATGCATCTTGTCTTCCCCTAATCCACATGCCTCTGCCATAAATCTACATAAAACCTTTATTGTTTTTTTTTCAATGTTATTTTATAATATTAAGTGCTCATCCAACAGTATGCACTAAACCCCAAACAGGTGCCATTTTAAGTCGCAAAATGGCAAAATAGCACCTGAAATTTTACAGATTTTATTTGATGTGGGATCTCCTTAGGGTTTTAACGCTTGCATATTTATTTATTTATCAATTTATTTATTTTGCTTTTATGAAGAACCATACTAGTACAAACTGTCGTCTTATCAACATGGGGATTGGCAACACCGCCAGCTCCAATTTGAGAGGCTCCATGAAATATATGCACAAACAGATCAATCCGTTTCACGCTCTGTCTAAAATGAAGCCCCTTTAAGTCAAATTGCTTTTTTCAATTAAGTAACTCAAATGCTTCCTTAGGGTTATTGCATTTTTTCGGAATTTCGCTTCACAATATCAAATCGGAAATTGCATTGATTGGGCAACACGTTTTGTATTGAGTGTTTCCAATTTGTGGCTTTTTGGCGTTACATCTGCCCTGTAGGCATGATTACTTGTATACCCTTCCAGTTACAGCCTATTCAGTAGTTTTTATTACACAGCTTGTCATTAATTGTCCCCTATCAATAGCATTACACAAGATGAAGAAAATTGATTGTAATAAATATTGCCCAAATATCGACAAACACATCATCGATCATCGTGACACATCTGGTAGTATTTCGACAGAGCATACTAAGTACGCTTCACATAGGTTGCAATTGGTTTTTCAGTTGAGATGGGTAAGGAGTTATTAAGCCTAGGTTGGCTACCACAAGACGACAGCATCAAGAATGAACCATTGTACGGCAGCAGTTGTATAACCTTGGCATATAAGCGGTAGTCCAACTATGGAAGCATCCATGTACATAATCCATGAACTAAATACTTAGAACTTGGTTTAAGTTTTTCATAATAAAATATTTGTTTTTGAAAATATGCCAAAACTTTCCTCTCTTTGTTTAATAATGAACAGCTAATGTGCCTATGTGACAACTTTAATTAAATGATGTCCACGTGAAATCATTACGACGTCATAAAGGAGTTCGTTTTCGCTTTTGAAAAGACCAATACTCTTTGACGTGACTGTAAATAGTTCATGATGACTCGATTCATGCCCGAGTAA